ACACCCCCTACTGGGGATGTGCCCGCAACCAAGGTACATGCCCTTGACCGGAATTTGAACCTGGACCTTCAGTCTGCAGGCCAACGCTCTATCCACTGAGCCAAACCGGTCAGGGCTACTTGATACCTATTTTAATCATTTACAAATGATAATTTTTTAAAATTCATAAATGATAAAGTAAACATCAACTTATTTTTATTTTATTATTGTTATCTTTAGTTTTGTTTTATTTTATGGAGAAATATCCATGATGCATTTGGTGACAGGCTCTCATTCATTTTTATAGAACACTTATTATTTCATGCCAGGCACTAGGTCTGCACTGTCCTACGTACATGTCTCTAGAAGCACACGTGTTTGTTTAAATGTAAATTAATTAAAAATAAATATAAGTGAAAACTCGGTTCTGCAGTTGCACCAGCCCCATGTCCCATGCTCAGTCGTTCCTAGCATAGAACATGCCACCATCACTGAGTGTTCCGTGGGCAGTGCCACACTGCCATCTCGTTTCTGCTGTGCTTTAAGCCGGACACTGTAACGCAGTGGCCGCAGTGGCTGCGGAATTCTCGCCTGGTGCCACTCAGCTGACAGCCTGGGGTCCGTGCGACCTCCACAGCCTTTTGATTATGCCGGGGACTCCGCCCTCCAGCACAGCATCAGCGCTCTTTTCCTCCAGCCTCATGTCTGCCCTCCCGCTTCCCGTCTCCTCTCAACAGGTGATCCGCCAGCTTATGAAGAAGGAATTCACCCTGGAGTTCTCCCGAGACAGAAAGTCCATGTCTGTCTATTGCTCTCCAGCCAAATCCCGGGCTGCCGTAGGCAACAAGATGTTTGTCAAGGTCAGAAATCAGAATGTGCCCCAGACTTTTCTGTCTGGGCCTGAGCCCCTCTCCTATCCGCCCTCTTCCTGTGCCCTGGAAAGAAGGCAGTCCTCTCTGAATGCTGGTCTGGTCTCCTAGGGTGCCCCCGAGGGGGTCATCGACCGTTGTACCTACGTGCGAGTCGGCACCACCCGGGTGCCCATGACAGGGCCGATGAAGGAGAAGATCATGACTGTGATCAAGGAGTGGGGCACTGGCCGGGACACCCTGCGCTGCCTGGCTCTGGCCACCCGGGACACCCCCCCGAAGCGAGAGGATATGATCCTGGAAGACTCTACCAAGTTCATGGACTACGAGGTGAGCAGATGGACTCCCGTTGTCCCAGCGTCATCTGCCTCACCCCCTCCTCCACCCTGTCCTTTCCTACTTTGTCCCGGGTCCTAGAATCACAGGAGGTTAGAGTTTGAAAGAACCTTAGTGCTGCTTTGCGCGTGATGAGGTAAGGCGATGAGCACACAGAGCAGAAGTCAGCGCACATACTCGGGGCAGCTGACACATTTCCATCGTGGCTTTCTTGATGCAAGCAGCAGCCCAGCGGCCTGCATTCTGGCACAGGCTCCTTTTTCCTAGTGGACTGGCTCTCTGAATAGCACCAGTCCACTCCCTTCACCTTATGGAGGGGACTCCGGCATGGCCGTTCACACAGATTTGCTCCAAGTTGTAGACCAAGTGAATGGCGCTTCGGAAAGCAGAAACCACCACCCTCACCCCCAGCTCAAGTTCTTCGGTGAAAGACATAGTCTGCCACTTACAATGGGCTTGGCACTGCCAAGCATGCAGGTAGACGTGTAAGCAAGGAAGGTTTCCTGCCCCGCTGAGGGTTAAACACTAGGCCCAGTCACCTCTCCCCAGCTCAGACCTTTCTGCCCAGCTCCCGAGGGCTTCCTCCCGGCTCCCTTTCCGAGTCCCTCACCGATCCTGTCGCTCTCTGCTGCCTCCCCAGATGGACCTGACATTTGTTGGCGTGGTAGGCATGTTGGACCCTCCCCGAAAGGAGGTCACAGGCTCTATCCAGCTGTGCCGTGATGCCGGAATCCGGGTGATCATGATTACTGGGGACAACAAGGGCACAGCCATTGCCATCTGCCGGCGAATTGGCATCTTTGGGGAGAACGAGGAGGTGACGGACCGAGCCTACACTGGCCGGGAGTTTGATGACCTGCCCCTGGGCGAGCAGCGGGAGGCCTGCCGTCGTGCCTGCTGCTTTGCCCGCGTGGAGCCTGCCCATAAGTCGAAGATTGTGGAGTATCTGCAGTCTTACGATGAGATCACCGCTATGGTGAGGAGACCAACAGGCCTGCCCAGGCGGGGCCGTGGAGCCTGGCATGGGGCAGTCTGCTGAGGGTCCATTGAAACGTTGTCTTCAGGAGCTCGGAGCCGGGGAGGGAGGAGCCAAGTGAGGGCCCTGGTCACATGCAGGAGGGGGGTGGGAGGGGCCAGGTCCCACCTTCTCTCTCCCCGCAGACAGGCGATGGGGTCAACGACGCCCCTGCTCTGAAGAAGGCTGAGATCGGCATCGCCATGGGCTCCGGCACCGCCGTGGCCAAGACCGCCTCCGAGGATTCAGGAGCTCGGAGCCGGGGAGGGAGGAGCCAAGTGAGGGCCCTGGTCACATGCAGGAGGGGGGTGGGAGGGGCCAGGTCCCACCTTCTCTCTCCCCGCAGACAGGCGATGGGGTCAACGACGCCCCTGCTCTGAAGAAGGCTGAGATCGGCATCGCCATGGGCTCCGGCACCGCCGTGGCCAAGACCGCCTCCGAGATGGTGCTGGCTGATGACAACTTCTCCACCATCGTGGCTGCCGTGGAGGAGGGCCGGGCCATCTACAACAACATGAAGCAGTTCATCCGCTACCTCATCTCCTCCAACGTGGGCGAGGTGGTCTGGTGAGCGGCCAGGGGCGGCGTCCAGGAGGACCCAGCTGGGTGGGGGAGGGCCACAGGTCTGGGAGCAGGACGACATGACCGCCTCCTTCTGGCAGCATCTTCCTGACAGCCGCCTTGGGGCTGCCTGAGGCCCTGATCCCTGTGCAGCTGCTGTGGGTGAACCTGGTGACTGATGGGCTCCCGGCCACAGCCCTGGGCTTCAACCCACCAGACCTGGACATCATGGACAGGCCCCCCCGGAGCCCCAAGGAGCCCCTCATCAGTGGCTGGCTCTTCTTCCGCTACATGGCAATTGGGGGTGAGTAGGATGAGACCCCCACAATCCTTTCCAACCTTCCAAATGGACCCATCTCCGGGACGCCAGCCCCTCCAGGGCAGCTGCCCCCGTTGCTCCTTCTCTGCCAGCTGTTCAGAGCCACCGGTCATCCTGATGCCTCCCATCCCCCCAGCCCTGACCCCCAACCCCCCATCTTCCCCACCGCAGGCTACGTGGGTGCGGCCACTGTGGGAGCGGCTGCCTGGTGGTTCCTGTACGCAGAGGATGGGCCTCACGTCACCTACAGCCAGCTGGTAGGGAGGCTGAAGAGGGAGGACGGAGGCGGACGGGGAGCAGAAGGGTGGCCCCGAGGCCTCCGTGGGACCCCAGTTCCTTCCCCTCCCCCTGCAGACTCACTTCATGCAGTGCACCGAGGACAATCCCGACTTTGAGGGTGTGGAGTGTGAGATCTTTGAGGCCCCTGAGCCCATGACCATGGCCTTGTCTGTGCTGGTCACCATCGAGATGTGCAATGCTCTCAACAGGTAGGACCTGCCCCACCCCCACCTTTGCCCTCCACCCCTCCTCTTGCCTCACCACTCTCTCGTGTCTCCCACCCTTGCCTCGGCCCGTCCGTCCGCTGGCAGCCTCTCTGAGAACCAGTCCCTGGTGCGGATGCCACCCTGGGTGAACATCTGGCTGCTGGGCTCCATCTGCCTCTCCATGTCCCTCCATTTCCTCATTCTCTACGTGGACCCTCTGCCGGTGAGCCGCCTCTGGCCAGGCACCCGTTCCCCCGGGGAGCCTCTGTGACTGAGAGCTCACAAAGGGAAGGAGGCTGGGCAGTGCTGGGTCCTCAGGGGGGCACTGTCCTCACTGCCCCTGACCCCCCTCAGATGATCTTCAAGCTCCGGGCCTTGGACGTGACCCAGTGGCTCATGGTCCTCAAGATCTCATTGCCTGTCATCGGGCTCGATGAACTCCTGAAGTTCGTTGCTCGGAACTATCTGGAGGGTAAGCAGCTTCCCCCCTCTGCGCCCTGTCAGCCCCGGGCCCTGAGCACAGCCCCTCTCTCTGCGCTGCGAAGGCGCCCGCCCCCACCCTCTTCCTTTTCAGGTGGGTGTGTTCTCGGTCCTGGCAGGACCACTGTCCACCAGGGAGGCGCACCCAGGTCCTTCCTCCCCTCCTCCCTCCATGTCTGGTGCAGACACCTCCTCCTTGGTGCCCCGACTTCCTCAGCCCTCTAGGCCCTCCACACCCACCCTCCCCCAATAACGGCTGTCTCTCTGTCCTCTCTGGCCATAGGATAACCCGTTCCCCCTCCTCCATCTCTTTGAACCGTGTCACAGGTATCGCCCCCCTTCTTGTCCTTGCCCCCAGCTGCTGTGCCCCCAGCTGACCCCTCTCCCCCTCGGGTGGCCTCCGAGGTCACTGCGCTCGCACACTGCCACTGCCGCGCTTCCACGCAGGGGCGGGCTGCTGCCCTTCTCTGCGGGCTCGCACTGCCCTGGCCTCTGGGCACACTGTCTGCTGGGCTGCGCTGCGTTGCGCTGGCTGGGCGCTGCGCTGTCTGCCGCTGGGGCTGCAGTGGTTGGGAGTGGGATCTGGGGACACAGGTGGGTATGGGGGTTGCTGAGCGACCCTCCAGGTGAGTCTGCAGGGGGTGGAGCCTGGAGCCTGGGAGGGACTCTTCCTCTCCCGCCACCTGCTTCAACCCTTCCTTTTCTCCTTCCAGATCCAGAAGATGAAAGAAGGAAGTAACCAGTCCTTTTGCCCCTTCTTCCCCATCCTGATAGTGACACACCTTTAGCCAGAGCTGTGGCACAGACCCCACACCCCCACTCCCCGTCGACATTCTTGTTTATAAACACAATGTCCCCTTCCCTTCGCCTCCCCACCCAGCCACCCACCTCCCTTTTACCCTGTAAAAACCTCCCTTCCCCAACCATGTGGGGCTTGCAGGGACAAGGCGACCGACTGAGCTGAGCTGCTTATTTATTGAAAATAAATGACAGAAAAGTCTGGCCTTGCCTCCATGCGCACCTTGGGCCTGGTCCAGCCCCTGGGGCAAGCATCTTAGTGTCACGCAGCCCAGAAAGCAGCTGTCTGTCCAGGACGCACATGTGGAGGGAGGCTCCACGCCCCCACCCACAGCCTGGCTGGGCTTAGGGAGGGGAGCAGGGGAGGGGCCGGCAGTCCGGTTGGGGGACAGGGGCACCAGGGTGGGACCCAGGAGGCAGCATAGCAGCCAGAGAGCCGCAGGGCCGAGCCTGCACCTTTGGTTCAGGGGGGAGCTGGGACCCTCACCCAGTGTCATCCTTGGGAGCAGAAGGCCCAGCCCCTCCCGGGAGGAGGCCCTGCCTCCTCCCCCCAGGCTGAGAGAAGGACTCATCCTGAGAGCCCCAAAGCGTAGGCCTCCTGGTTCTGCAGTGGAGAAGGCAGTCTCCCCGAGGGGTGGGGCTGGCCCTCAGCTGTCCTTGACGTCCCCGATGTCCCTGAGCGGCGCCTCGTCCAAGAGGCTGCGCACCTGCTCCAGACTCTCCGCCTGGCGGATCTGCTCCAGGCGCACCTGCGGGCCCAGTGAGGCAAGCAGAGGCCCTTGGTGGGCAAATGCAGCCCCGCCTCCCCCATCCCGTAGTGAGACCAGGTTCAAGGAAGAAAGGGGCCCTGGAAGGGCAGCCTGAGGAAGCGGGCAGGGCAGGTGATAAATGGCACACAGCACGGCCGTGTGCCTGGCCCTGGGCCGCCCACAAGGACAGAGATGGACACACAGAGCTTTAACGTTCTGGAGCAGTAGCTCAGGAAAGAACGCCAGCCCAGGAGGAGGAAGAGGACTCCTCTAACTGGAGACTGTCCTTGCGTGACCCAGGACACGTCACCTGGAGTCATGAGCCTGGTGGTGAGGGGCCCTGCCATACCTGCAGGGCCTGGGACAGGCGCACGAAATCCCTCTGCACCTGCTCGCTGGTCTCCAGCTCGGCCTGCAGCCGCAGCACCTTTGCCCTCTGTTCTGAGAGGAGGTCTGTGAGCTGAGCCTAGGGGACAGGATGAGGCTGGAACCTTGGGCCAGGCAGGAGAGGGTGGCCCACGGGAGGGTCCCTCTCCACCAGCCCTGACTGACCTCTTCTGTGGGGCCTGGCCCTGGTGGCTGCTTTGAGGCTTCCTGCCGCCTGGCCTGAGGCAGACAGAGGGCAGAGGGGCCGCTCAGGGTCTCCTCCACTCTGCCACCCCTACCCCTCACCCCACCTGGCCTGACTGCCTCACCTTGCTCTGTTCCTGATGGATCCGCTCCATCTCTGTCCTGAGACTGCACAAGGAGGCTAGGAAGTCAGGCAGGGACAAGCCGTCAGGCCCACGCCCGCCTCCTTCCCCAGCCCCGGCCGCAGCCCCAGCCCCAGCCCCGCCGGCTCCAGCCCATACTCACCCTCTAACACCTCTGTGTGGGAAGGAAAGAGAGAGAGGTCAAGGCTTGTTCTCACTCCATCTCTCTCCCCACCTGGCACCCAGGTGGTCCCCTGTGGGGAGGCCAAACCCCCGAGAGCAGGAGTGAGGGAGCTCATCTCTCCTCTCACCTGTCTCCTCCCGCTGCCCCCTCAGCTGCCCCTCCAGGCTGGCCCTCGCCGCCGTCTCTTCCTCCAGCGCCTCCCGCAGCGTCACGATCTCAATGCGAAGGCGTTCGGCCTCGTGCTCCCGGGCCCGCTGGTGGGCCCTGGCCTCCTGCCCCATGCGGAGCACCAGCTGCTTCAGCTCCTGGAAGGGCAAAGCACCTGCTGGGTGTGGCAGCAGGGCCAAGGCAGCAGGGGTCACCGGTCACACGGGGAGTGTGAGGAGGGGAGGAAGGGAGGAATCTGTTAAAAGCGGGGACAGCCCGTCATGGGCCGAGGAGACGGTACATGACCCAGCAGTGAGCGTCGCACAGCAAGCACACGCCCCGGCCGAGGCCCGTGAGGAACGGTGCCAAGTTCCGGATTACCCCGAGCAAGATACCCTTTCCTAACGCTCACAAACAACGAACTGGTCAGCACTCCACTGTTTAGGGAGGCGTGTGCTCATAATAAAAATGGCACCGAAAAAGAGCAGGGGGTGGTCAAACTCAGGAAGGTGGAAGCAGAGCCAAGCAGTAAGGGTCCACGTGAGGATGGGCAAGGGCTCCCGGCGACCTTCACTTTTTGTTAAAATCCTCACCCGAGGAGGTTTCATTGATTTTTAGAGAGAGAAACACTGATGTGAAAGAGAAACGTCAATTTGTTACCTCGCTTATGCACCCCGATCGGGGATGGAACCCGCCACCTGGGTATGTGTCCTGACCAGGAATCAAACCCACAACCTTTTTGGTGAATGGGATGATGCTTCGAGCCACTGACCCACCCAGCCAGGGCGACCTTCATATTTTTAACAAATTAATAATGTCAACGAAGGCCATGCACAGACCAATGATGACAGCTGTTATGAACCAAAGATTGTGACGAATTCAACGTTGTGGATCTTGTGTCACTTAAAAATAAACCAAATTACCGCTCTCACATCGAGCATTCTGTGCGCTCATTTTCTCCTCAGGCGATGCTGGCAAGGGGGTTTGGTCCCGTTCTCAGGTGAGGAGACAGCCTTAGCAAAGCCCAGTGAGGCGGCCAAGGTGACGCAGTGAAAACACGGTGGCCTGGATCTGTCCCCCAGTCCCACAGGGAGGAGGTGCCACCAGGGTGGACCCCAGGCTCCGGTGCCTGCACCCCCCTTACCGGGACGGAGCTGGGCATTGACTCCTCCTGGCCCTCCAGCTCCAGGACCCGGGGGGCTGAAGACGGTGGCTGCTCGGCCCGGAGCCCTCGGTTTTCCTCCGTCAGCCGCTTCACCTCGTGGCTCAGGCCCTTGTGGGAGGCGGCCAGCTCTGCCTAGGGATGGAGAGTTAGTGCGCGATGAGGGGACCAGGTGTCTCCAGGCCCCTGGGAGGCCACACCCTGACCCCTCTTCCTTCAGCCTTCTCAGTGACTTGGGGATCACACAGTGGCAGCCACCAACCATGTCGGCTGCTTTATTTGGTGCATGTTGTTTGTTTTTACTTTAAATTAGTTGCTAAGTCTAAAAATTGGTAGACGACACACAAATACCTAGATTTCTGGCTTCTCTTGACAAACAGAAACCCTGGCAGCACTGAGCTCGATTCCCACAGGGCAGAGTCCAGGGCAGCGGCCCCCTGCGCACCATCCCTCGGCCTCCCAGGTTGCCCCTTCCTGCCTCGCACCTGGCACCTGGCCCAATCCAATCGTCTACAGCTCTCGTCTGGGCTGGGACGTATCTGGTCTCTCCATCCCTGCTTTTACTCTTCATGACTCTGAGCTGGGTCCCACTGTCTCAATTTCACGGCGGCAAGGCTGCGGCTCCCAGCCTGTGGGATCAGCTCCAGATCCCGCAGCAGGTGCGCCGTGGGCTCGCTCTGAACACAAGCCCCTGCTCTGGCCACAGTGCCAGGTACCCGGGAAACCCTTTCACCCACTTGGCACCAACTTCAGGTGCAGCCCGTGCAGGACAGGTGCCTCGACCTTCCATGTGCCCCCCCCAACCAATTCCCATCACTCCTGCCCCAGCCCCCAAGCCCTCACCATCTGCAGCTGAACCCGCTCCTGAGCCTGGCTCACGGTCCCCTGCAGGGTCTGCAGCAGCTGCTCTGAGTTCTGGACCTGTGCCAGGAGCACCTGCATCTGTGGGTGGCAGGGGGTAAGGGTGAGGCTGGGGCCTAGGAGGAGGCATGCAGCCAGAGGCCCTGCTGGGCTGGGGCAGAGGCTGCACCCACCTGCTTGGCACAGTCCTCATTGCTTCGCCTCAGGCCCTCTTGCAGCTCATCCCGCTCACGGCTGATGCTCTCCAGGTCCTTTTGCAGCTGCCGCCCCTGCCACAGACCCGGCCTCAGCCTCAACCTCCAGGGAAGGCCTCCCCTCACCACGCCTCTTATGCCTCACACCCCCCCCCTTGTTTTTTGGCATCTCAGTAGGTGGTGCCATTATCCTCCCAGTTGCTCAAGCCCAAAGCCCAGGAATTGATGCTGACCCTTCTCTTTTCTCCACTCCCCAAGTCCAACCCACCAGCAGGCCCTGCCAATCTGCCTCCAAAGTAGATTCCACATCCACTTCTCTTTATCTCTGCTGCCATCTCCTGGTCCCAGTCACAACCTTCTTCTAAACCAGTGATGGCGAACCTTTTGAGCTCGGCGTGTCAGCATTTTGAAAATCCCTAACTTAGCCCTAACGGGTTTGGCTCAGTGGATAGAGCGTCGGCCTGCGGACTCAAGGGTCCCAGGTTCGATTCCGGTCAAAGGCATGTATCTTGGTTGCAGGCACATACCCAGTAGGGAGTGTGCCAGAGGGGAGAGCATAAGTAAAAAGAGTAAAAACAGAGGAGAGGACAGCACCGTGATGGCGAACCTTTTGAGCTCGGTGTGTCAGCATTTTGAAAAACCCTAACTTAACTCTGGTGCCGTGTCACATATAGAAATTTTTTGATATTTGCAACCATAGTAAAACAAAGATTTATATTTTTGATATTTATTTTATATATTTAAATGCCATTTAACAAAGAAAAATAAAAAAATTGAGTTCGCGTGTTACCTCTGACACGCGTGTCATAGGTTCGCCATCACTGTTCTAAACTGTCAAGGCCCTAGCTGGCTTGGCTCAGTGGCTAGAGCATTGGCCTGTGGACTGAAGGGTCCAGGTTCAATTCCTGTCAAGGGCACATGCCAGGGTTGCGGGCTCGATCCCCAGGAGGGGTCATGCAGGAGGCAGCCGATCAATGATTCTCTCTCATCATTGATGTTTCTATCTCTCCCTCTCCCTTCCTCTCTGAAATCAATAAAAACAAACAAACAGACACAAAAACAAAACGATGTCAAGCACCTCCAACTAGCCACCCGCCTCTCCTGTTGCCCTCCCCCCCACAGCCCATTCCTACACCGAGGCCCAAGTGGTCATGTGAAGCCTAAAGCAGAGCAGGCCTCTCGGTGGTTTAAACCCCTCAGGCTTCCCACTGCTCCTTGTCTGAACACCCCGTGCGCTGAGGCTGACCCCTGGGCCTGCCTTCCTTTCTGACCTCATCTCTCTCCTCCCTCAGGCACACCGTGGTCTATCCATCCTCAGGGCCTTTGAACGTGCGGTCCCTTCTGCCCCCACTCTTCGAGGAGCGCCGCTCTGTCACCTTCCAGGTTAGTCTCCAGCACTGCCAGACCTGTTCCTTTCCCCTGGGCCTCACCGGGGACACTGACTTCCTCATGTGCCCGTGTGCAGGTGCTGTGTCCATGTGCATGTGTGGGCCTGGCTCCCTCACCGGCGGAAGCACCAGGAGGGAGGGAGTTTTCTCTTCACTGTGGATCCCCAGCTCTGGCTCAGCCTGGGCAGGGAGAGGTGGACGCATGCAGGCAGACGGGCACCCTGCCACTCCACTCACCTCCATTTGCAGCTGCTCCCACTGGGTGTCTGGGACAAGCTGGTAACCAGGAGGGGGCAGGTAGATGCCCTCAGGGACCAGGGTGCCCGTGGACACCAGAGAGGCTGTCTCTTCCTGCTCGGGGCTCAGGCCCTGGCGGCCACGGGGCAGGGAGGTGCTGCTGCCGGGCCCGCCGCCGAGGGAGAAGGAGGAGATGGAGGCGCTGTCATCACAGTTGTGGGCGAAGGCCTCGGCCGCTGCACCCCCATCTCCGCTCAGCTCCTCGAGAGGCTCCAGCGGGGGAGACAGGTCCCGGGAGAGAGGCAGCAACTCCGTGGAGCCATGCAGGGAAGGGGGGTGCCGGGGACGTCTCTAGGGAAGGGGGTCAGGGGAGAGGCTGGGGGACAGGGTCCTGCAGCGCCCTCTTCCCTCAGTGCCCCCTGGCCTCCCCTCACCTGGATCTCTTGAATCAGCTCCTCCGCTCTCAGCAACTTTGCCTTCAGCTCCTCTATCTCCTGCTCCATGGGCAGCACGATCTCTCGCAGCTTCTCCGAGTCCTCATGGGCCTGAAGAAGGGGGGGTTGGGCAGCGACAGTTGCCCTCCCAACTGCAGGACCCCTCAGGTCTGCTCAGAGCTTTCTTTCCAAGTGCATCAGCCCCGCGAACCCTCCCAAGAAAGCCCTGTCCACCCCCATCGGAGATCACAGAGGGTCTGGAGCTCCAGACCTGCCCCAGGGCACGTGGTAGGGAAAGGGGCCAGAGTCGCGACTATCTTCCCACCTGCTCGCCATATTTCTTCCCCAATATCCAGTTTCCCTTTTATCATAGAAACTAACATTTAACTTGGGCACATAGCCTATATTCGAGAATACCATCCGCATTTCTCAGCTTCCCTGTAACTAAGCATGGCCACGTGACTAAGTTACAGCTAAGGAGATGGAGGCAGGTGCCATGTGCAACCTCAGGGCAACTCCTTAAAGGGTGTGCGTTCCTCCTCCTCCCCTCCTCCTCCTCCTCCTCCCTTCCTCCTCCTCCTCCTCCTCCTCCTCCTCCTCCTCCTCCTCCTTCTTCTTCAATACCCTTCGACATTTCAGGTAATACTGTTTTGGTGGTAATGAACTCCTTTAGCTTTTTCTTGTCTGTGAAGTTCTTTGTCTGACCTTCAATTCTAAATGAGATCCCTCAGGCACACCGTGGTCTATCCATCCTCAGGGCCTTTGAACGTGCGGTCCCTTCTGCCCCCACTCTTCGAGGAGCACCTTCCAGGTTAGTCTCCAGCACTGCCAGACCTGTTCCTTTCCCCTGGGCCTCACCGGGGACACTGACTTCCTCATGTGCCCGTGTGCAGGTGCTGTGTCCATGTGCATGTGTGGGCCTGGCTCCCTCACCGGCGGAAGTGCCAGGAGGGAGGGAGTTTTCTCTTCACTGTGGATCCCCAGCTCTGGCTCAGCCTGGGCAGGGAGAGGTGGACGCATGCAGGCAGACGGGCACCCTGCCACTCCACTCACCTCCATTTGCAGCTGCTCCCACTGGGTGTCTGGGACAAGCTGGTAACCAGGAGGGGGCAGGTAGATGCCCTCAGGGACCAGGGTGCCCGTGGACACCAGAGAGGCTGTCTCTTCCTGCTCGGGGCTCAGGCCCTGGCGGCCACGGGGCAGGGAGGTGCTGCTGCCGGGCCCGCCGCCGAGGGAGAAGGAGGAGATGGAGGCGCTGTCATCACAGTTGTGGGCGAAGGCCTCGGCCGCTGCACCCCCATCTCCGCTCAGCTCCTCGAGAGGCTCCAGCGGGGGAGACAGGTCCCGGGAGAGAGGCAGCAACTCCGTGGAGCCATGCAGGGAAGGGGGGTGCCGGGGACGTCTCTAGGGAAGGGGGTCAGGGGAGAGGCTGGGGGACAGGGTCCTGCAGCGCCCTCTTCCCTCAGTGCCCCCTGGCCTCCCCTCACCTGGATCTCTTGAATCAGCTCCTCCGCTCTCAGCAACTTTGCCTTCAGCTCCTCTATCTCCTGCTCCATGGGCAGCACGATCTCTCGCAGCTTCTCCGAGTCCTCATGGGCCTGAAGAAGGGGGGGTTGGGCAGCGACAGTTGCCCTCCCAACTGCAGGACCCCTCAGGTCTGCTCAGAGCTTTCTTTCCAAGTGCATCAGCCCCGCGAACCCTCCCAAGAAAGCCCTGTCCACCCCCATCGGAGATCACAGAGGGTCTGGAGCTCCAGACCTGCCCCAGGGCACGTGGTAGGGAAAGGGGCCAGAGTCGCGACTATCTTCCCACCTGCTCGCCATATTTCTTCCCCAATATCCAGTTTCCCTTTTATCATAGAAACTAACATTTAACTTGGGCACATAGCCTATATTCGAGAATACCATCCGCATTTCTCAGCTTCCCTGTAACTAAGCATGGCCACGTGACTAAGTTACAGCTAAGGAGATGGAGGCAGGTGCCATGTGCAACCTCAGGGCAACTCCTTAAAGGGTGTGCGTTCCTCCTCTTCCTCTCCTCCTCCTCCTCCTCCTCCTCCACC